CATGAGGTCCTGGGTCACAAGAAGCACCACCACAAGGAATGGATCACTGTTGGTACACTGGATAAGATTCAAGAAAGGAGGAACAAGAAGGCAGCGATCAATACCAGCCGAACGAGAGCAGAAAAAGCCAAGGCACAAGCTGAATACACGGAAATAAACAAACAAGTGAAGAGGAGCATCAGAACCGACAAACGTAAATATGTGGAAGATTTAGCAACGACGGCGGAAAAGGCTGCAAGAGAAGGAAACATGAGACAATTGTATGACACGACAAAGAAACTCTGGAAATCGCCGCAAACCAGAACGACCAGTGAAAAACAAGGAAGGCAAGGTAATCACCAACATTGAAGAGCAACAAAACAGGTGGGTAGAACACTTCAAAGAACTCTTGAATCGACCAGCTCCACTGAACCCGCCCAACATCGAAGCAGCACACACGGACCTCCCAATCAATGTTGGCCCACCAACAATTGAAGAAATCAGCATGGCCATCAGAAAAATCAAGAGTGGCAAAGCAGCAGGACCGGACAACATCCCAGCAGAGGCACTAAAAGCAGACGTAGCGGCAACTGCAAGGATACTCCACATTCTCTTCAATAAGATTTGGGATGAGGAACAAGTACCAAAAGACTGGAGAAAGGCGATGTCAGAAAGTGTGATAACTACAGAGGCATCACTCTTCTCTCAATACCGGGAATAGTCTTCAACAGGGTATTGTTAAACAGGATGAAGGACTGCGTAGACGCCCAACTTCGTGACCAACAGGCAGGATTCCGTAAGGATAGATCGTGTACAGACCAAATCGCAACTCTACGGATCATTGTGGAACAATCAATTGAATGTAATTCATCACTCTACATCAACTTCATTGACTACGAAAAGGCATTTGATAGCGTGGACAGAACAACACTATGGAAACTTCTTCGACACTACGGCGTGCCTCAGAAGATAGTCAACATCATACAGAATTCATATGATGGATTACACTGCAAAATCGTGCATGGAGGACCGTTGACAAAGTCGTTCAAAGCGAAGACCGGTGTCAGGTAAGGTTGCTTACTCTCACCCTTTCTCTTTCTCCTGGCGATCGACTGGATCATGAAGACGTCAACGTCTGAAGGGAAGCGCGGGATACAATGGACATCTTAGATGCAGTTGGATGATCTAGACTTCGCAGATGATCTGGCCCTTCTATCCCAAACGCAACAACAGATGCAGGAGAAAACGAACAGTGTGGCAGCAGCCTCAGCAGCAGTAGGTCTCAATATACACAAAGGAAAAAGCAGGATTCTCCGATACAACACAGAATGCACCAATCCAATCACAATTGACGGAGAAGATTTAGAAGATGTAAAAACCTTTACGTATTTGGGCAGCATCATTGATGAACAGGGTGGATCTGATGCAGATGTGAAGGTGCGGATCGGCAAAGCAAGAGCAGCATATTTACAACTGAGGAACATCTGGAACTCAAAGCAACGGTCAACCAACACCAAGGTCAGAATTTTCGATGCAAATGTCAAGACAGTTCAACTGTATGGGGCAGAAACCTGGAGAACTACGAAAGCCATCATCCAGAGGATATAGGTGTTTATTAACAATTGTCTACGCAAAATACTTTAGATCTATTGGCCGGACACTTAGCAACAACGTACTGTGGGAGAGAACAAACCAGATCCCAGTGGAGGAAGAAATCGGGAAGAAGCGCTGGAAGTGGATAGGACACATTGAGGAAAGCACCCAACTGCGTCACAAGACAGGCCCTCACATGGAACCCTCAAGGCCAAAGGAAAAGAGGAAGACCAAAGAACACATTACGCCGAGAAATGGAGATAGACATGAGAAAAATGAACAAGAATTGGATGGAACTAGAAAAGAAGGCCCAGGACAGAGTGGGTTGGAGAATTTTGGTCAGCGGCCTATGCTCCATTGGGAGTAACAGGCGTAAGTAAGTAAGTAAGTAAGCAGTCGCTTGAGGATGAATAAACCTTATTCTGTGGTCACTTGTACTCTGGTCCTCTTACCAGCCTCAGACGTCTAGAACACTTATCTTCAAGTGGGCCTACGTTCAAAACATCTATGAGTGACGAACCAGTTGGATCCAATAATTACGTTGTTTAAGGTTAGTGGTCCTAGTGCGTAGCTTGGATGTGGTTATCTTACTTAATATTAATCGGGTAATGCCGGCCGGTATCCGAGACGAGAAAATATTGTTCTTTTGTTATGTTAATTGCCAGGTTAGACTACGCTCTAGTAACATTTTAATTGCACTCGAACAATTGCTTATTTTCATAATACAATGCAAGTATGTCAAATTGAAACCATACATTACCCAAATAAACGAAAAAATTGCCTCACGTGATGATGGAACCTGTCTCGTGTGCGTAGTTATGAGGTTTTTCGGGCAAGATATATTGCGAATTATATTTTTAGACCATTATCCTGGGAAATTTGCAAAAGCGAATGTTTTGCATAGCATGATAATGTAGCTTTGTGACTCACTATTGGTCCGTATGATTAAATTAGTTTATTTCTGACATGACAGTTACTTGCCAATTTTACAGGCACAACCAAGGCATGCGAAATGGTATACATTTAGGGCACTAGCCCATTAGAGTTATTAAGATTTAATCAGAGATCCAGTAAAATTTTACAATCAATTGTACATGGAGACATATCATCTGTGTATAAAGTAGATTTGTGTAATGGGATTGGTCAGTAATTTTGTAGTTTTCATATAGTGACAGAGAGAAGGTATTTGGTATGAGCTGCGATCTTGTAAAACGTGTAAATTAGGAATGTAGTGAATGATAAGGTAGAAGCTCGACGTATTCATGCTGTAAAAGTAGTGGTGAGGAAAAAGTGAAGAACGAAATACAAGCACTAAGAATAGTGGACACGAACTCTCTAAAATTGTCGAATGTTTGAAACACAACGAATAAGGATATGTTTACTTTCTGGTTGGTATCACTAGAATGAACTACATTCAAAACGTCTACAGGCGAATTATGGGAAAAAAGAGCAACAATGTGGAATAGTTCTAAGTATTATAGGGGAAGCTGAAGTAGGTCGCAGTAAGGGTTGAAGAATGCTGGTCAGCGGCCTATGCTCCATTGGGAGTAACAGGCGTAAGTAAGTAATCTGTCCACATTATTTAAATAACTGTGATGAGCTTTTCCATAATAGTATAATCAGTTGAAAAGTTTTCGTAAATTTTTAATTTACGCCATCATCAAACTTCTTTATTCCATCTGCCAAAGATGTAGTCATACAAGTGTTGACTGGTTTTTTTACTAAACATACTGTAATTCGTCAAGTGTATTACTGTTGCTTATGAAAGTGGAATTAATTATTGAGCATTTTGGACATGTTTTATCTAAATATGAAATTTATTATCGATAAATATAACTGTACCATATTCTATTTTTATTACCAACTATCCGCTCATCACTGATGTTGATCTTACATTATGAAGTACAACTGCCTTAACTTCTGTTTATTTAACTTCTACACCAATTAAACTAGCAGGATCACTATTATATATTCATATTTTGATATATGATCACGTACTGACAGTATTTCAACTTACATTCAGTTTGGGATGACTGACTAGAAAATTCTTGTGTAATACAATGTCTGTAGCACATATACTCTCCACTTGTTCTTTACACTTATCACTAAACATTGTATGCAGATATGATCTAAATGGTGGGGCCATAATTTATCAAGAAACCAATCAAATTTAAGACGATGCCTCTTGGATTTTTGCACGAAATCCATTAATCAAAATGACTACAATTCTGGTATCAAAATTGATGTCAGCTCGTGATGAAGACCCGAAATTCTAACTCTCACTCTGAATCCTAATTCATAATTCTACTGTTGGTCCTAGCAAAATAGTTTGGAATCCTTTTGAAAACACTTTAGTATCAGAAGTAGTCGTCTACAAATTGTAGCCTCGCCGTTGCATTTATGCAAAAAAAGCAAATAACTGATTGGTAGTTAGCTACTTTTTGTAGTCTTGTTTAGGTGGTATATGAATATGAGTAAATTTGCACAAGGAGCTAATCGTCGTTTGTATGATGAGCATTCATTTTGCATTAGAATGTAGTTGATCATCTCATTAAAAGTATCAGTCTAATACTATGAAACATGATGTGGGATATCGTGCAATCTAACTTTCAAACACTAACGCTTCTACGTCTCAAATTATTTGAACAAGCATTCAAGTTTATTGAACAACTACCACTACAAGCTATACAATGCATTAGTTTCTCGTCACTGCTAAGTATAGAAAAGATAATTAACCCTATCAGTAAATCTGCGTTTTTCTACTAAAATTTTAATTTGTTCCATTTATTGTCTTGATAAGTTTACATTTATTCTGCTGATCAATATTAATTAACTTAATGCACAACAAGCACGTGGTATTTGAAACCAAGAAATTTTGTGTGCTGAAATTCGTGCTAAGCCTGATGACTTTTCTGAAATGTTTTTTTCCTCTCACTCTGTTCATAAAAAGATGTTATGAAATGAAGAACTTAGCTTTAAGTTTTAAAAGACATGACACTTTTTCCTTTGGAAAAAAACTAGCATTCAACAATATCACCTGGTCTAAATTCCTAACCAAATCGATACCTACTTATTCCTTTTTAAAAATAAATTTACCGACTTATGCATGTTTATTTGGACAATGACCTTCACGTCCAGAATACACATAAATGTCCTTAAACGAACAGCTTAAATGCTTTAAGTTTTTCTATATTTCTCCATACTATCCAGTGTTTTCAATTAATACAACTGAAAACACCATGACTGTCTGAAACGTCAGTTTATTTCCTCGTGTCCCCCTTCGTTTTGATCACATACTGATCATTTTGCTGTTGTGAAAGCGCACAACAGTAAATTAGTCAACTCATTGTGTTTATAAATAGTTATGCAATTGTTAATTTCCATAAATCTAACTTAAACGTAAACTTGCTTCTTTGACTATTTTTAAGTGCCTCAGGTACCGTTCGACTTGGTCGAAATAAAAGAACGGGACAAATTGTAGCTGTCAAAGTGATGAAACTAGATAAGCAGCCCAATCGCGATTTAATCGTTTCCGAAATTGCTGTCATGAAGCGCATACAACATGAAAATATCGTTAATTACTTAGCATCTTATTTATTAAGAAATGAAAACCAGCTATGGGTTGTGATGGAATACCTGGATGGTGGTGCACTGACAGATGTAGTCACTGAGACTGTCATGGCCCCAGACGTAATTGCCGCTGTTGTTCGGGAATGTGTAAAAGCCTTGGTATTTCTGCACGATCAAAATATAATACATAGGTATAGTACATTAACCTCATGTTTTCTTGCTGTTTTTTTATCTCGTTCTAGGTATTAAAAGGGCTGTAATAACAATTCCAGATATCACGTGGCTTACTTCTTTTCATCGCTATGAAAAACGTAATATATATAATCTACCCCACAAAGCAAACATTGCTATGGTATCTGAAAAAGTTCAAATATCATTTGAATTACCCCAACCTATAAAAAATAACTAGTCAATTTTTATGCACTATGTTTTCAGTTCTTTCAAATCATTAATCACATTCGCAAAACTTACCTTTACTTTGATTCCATCAGTAGGTGAATTTATTAATCTATTTTTACAAACCAAATTAGTAGATATGCACACCTTTTAAGAATGTATAGCTATTTACAAGGGCTTATGATGTATAGATCAAAGTGTTTTATGGAAATTAAAATGACAGCATATTACTTCCTAGATTCAATGCAGTGATCTCCATAGAATTAACATGATTAAGTGGTTCTGGAACGTATATACTTACCGAAGATCATTTTTATCTGAATAGCTCACTAATGATTCCTTTAACTGTGACACAGTGGCATAGGTTTAAAACCCTAGTTACCAGAATTACCTTTCTAATCACTGATGAAGTGCATTACTGTCGGATCTGATGACTTCCTGTCGATCAATTTTGAGAATCTACCACCAATTTGCATCACAAAGTGCAACTATTTAAGTTAATAATCACGTCGTAATGAAGATACAGTTGAACTAATCAATTCTTAACTAGTTTTTCCAGAAGTACCCTACAAGTCCTGTTCGTATAAGTCATATAAACTAGCACAAGTTATGAAGCTTGAAGATATGTTACAGTGAAGCAGTTTTTTAAAATAAGAATTACTTCTTTTTTACCTCTAACTTACAACGCGGACCAAAATAAATCATTTTAATTACATTTTCACAGGGATATAAAATCTGACAATGTACTGCTCGGAAAACAGGGTCAAGTCAAGGTCACCGATTTCGGATTTTGTGCTCAGCTTGGTAATCGGCAAAGTAAACGCCAAACCATGGTTGGAACTCCTTATTGGATGGCTCCTGAAGTTGTTTCGAAAACTGCAAATTATGGGCCGAAAATTGACATTTGGTCACTTGGCATTATGATTATTGAAATGTTGGATGGAGAACCACCTTATATGAATGAACCTCCACTAAAAGTATGTTAAACCATGTATTTATCACATTGTACAACTGATGAAAGTTTTTATCTTCTTGGATTATTTGGGTTAGTATTGTTCGACCGTAGAGCCTAAGGAAACTTGCCATTTGTTTATAAAGACATGTCGTCTGCTGATGACTAAAATGTTGTCCGTTCATGAAGACTTTATTTGAAAAAGATAAATTTATAGAAGTTTCCTCCACCCAAGCATTGTACCTCTCCAAAGTGTTATATATTGACCTGTTTTCTCTATCCTGGTTTAAGCTCATTTCGTCTGAAGGCCATTGTTAATGATCAGCTAGTCAAACCAATGTAAGTAGATTTTAGCTCAAGCGTATCAACCTGTGATTTGATTTTCGATCACTGAACCCATGATACGGAGTTCGCCAAACTTCGAGTGTTCCCAGCTCATAAAAACGACTAAACAAAACGTGTGCTTGACCAATGATTTGCAACAACCATATCCGGTCAGCAATATAACTCTGGTGTCGGACTATCGAATCCAGGGTACTAGTTATCAGCATAACTATTGATCCCACTTTCATACATCTTAAAACTTCAAGAAGAAAGTTTTCAAACAAGCATTTCTCAACTAGATTGTTGCAGTGGACGACTATTATTCTAGTGTCAAGAAATAAGTCTTAGCGACCACTCCGACAACTACTTGACAGACAAGACATACATATGGTTGAGTGTGTGCGCTGTCCAATCACTTTTTATAAGGTGTCAGGTGCACTCTTTGTATCGAGCAAGTCCTAAACACCGAATAATATTCTGCGCCCAACCTTTGGAAATCCATTCAAGTTTTTACGAACCGGGCTATTTCTCAAATTCGCGGTCTGTTCTAAATGGCCTTGGAAGCTTATACCCGTGGTCCAAATAATAGTTACCTGACTGCTGATGCACGAACACCCACAATCACATTCTCTTCATTCTTCAAAACTCTGCTAAGACTACCTTAATATGCTTTTTGCCCTACAAATAAACGATTACCGTAGGTCTCCTCGAAAATTTTAGGGAACGGATGCAGCTCTCTATTACAGAGGCCTGTATGCAGCTTCAAGGTAATCCTGGTGGGCTCATCCGTTGTTAAACACTGATCCATCTTATGACCTTAATTAGTCGCATCAGCTCCCTACACCAAACCAACGATGGACTCAAATAGACCATATTGCCATCAGTCATCGTTGGAGAGGGTCGGTAGAAGATTGTCGCTCATTCTGGAGTACCTGCTTGGACTCCGACCATGCCCTAATACGGGCACGCATCTGCTTGCGCCTCACTGGACGCAAAAAAGCCACATTAAAAAGACCCGTTAGAACTGAGTTGAGTAACGAGAAAACCAAAAGTAGGTTCCAGGAACAACTGAGATCACACTTAGGTAGTTGTGAAGACGAGGCTGACCCAGATGTTGCTTGGAAGAGCATACAATCAGCTGTGGAAACAGCAGTGACATCTATTAGTGACTTAAACCACAGAGTTGCAAGGAACCAGTGGATTTCTTCAAGGTCTGTCACACTGATGGATTCTCGCAAACTCGTCCCATCAGGTTCTGAACATGATGAAGAGCGAAAACAAATCAGATCTAGGTTAAGAAAAAGTCTAAGGAACGACCGTGAGCAGTGGTGGGTAACGAAAGCAAAAGAGATGGAAAAGGCGGCGACTATAGGGAACACAAGACAGCTTTACAGACTAATAAAAGAAACTGGAATTAATAAGTCAAGTGTAAGTGAGATTATTTCGGAAAAAGATGATACTCTCATCTGCTCCCAGTCCAGACGCTTAGAACGATGGGCGGAACATTTTAGAGAACAGTTCAGCTGGCCTTCAGCTACTCTGCAACTACCCTCCATTCCCAGACAATGTGAATGGAACATTGAAGTAGGTCCCCCAACTCTTGCTGAAGTTCAAAAAGCTATAGTTAATCTGAAACGAGGAAGGGCAGCTGGTCCAGATGGATTGGCTCCAGAGGTCTTTAAGGATGGTGGTCCAATTTTAGCGATTAGGTTGACTAATATTTTAGCTAAGATCTGGGAATTAGACTTTATCCCATCTGACTGGTCGCAATCACTCATCGTCCCAATATATAAGAAAGGGTCAAAATCATCCTGTGACAACCACAGAGGGATTAGTCTAACAAACATAGTATCTAAAATACTGGCCTCGATAATTATCAGACGCCTAACTAAGACTCGTGAACTACAAACTCGAGAGAACCAAGCTGGCTTTAGACCTGGTCGTGGCTGCATCGACCACATATTCACCATTCGTCAGGTTCTAGAACACAGGCATACCTATCGGCGTCCGACGATGGTGGTCTTTCTTGACTTGAAAGCAGCGTTTGACTCTGTAGACCGCGAGACTCTGTGGCAGTGTCTGTCATTGAAAGGCGTACCTCAGAAGTACATAAACCTTGTGAAGGCTCTTTACTCGAACACTACTAGTCGAGTCAGAGCTTATGGCGAACTGTCATCTACTTTTGCAACTTCAAGTGGTGTCCGTCAAGGCTGTCCACTTTCTCCATTTTTGTTTAACTTCATCATAGACCTATTGATGGAAATAACACTCTCGTCGACTGAATTCTCGGGTATTGATCTCCTTCCAGGAGGTCCACTTATCGACTTAGAATACGCAGATGATATAGTCCTGTTTGGTGAAGACGCTGACAAAATGCAGAGTCTTCTGGTAGCACTAAGCAACAATGCCAGAATGTGTGGGATGCGCTTCTCTCCCTCTAAATGCAAGTTGTTGCTTCAGGACTGGTCTGCATCAACACCTGAACTAAGGATAGGGAGTGAAGTAGTCGAACGCGTCGACAACTTCACTTATCTTGGAAGTCTGATCAGCCCTAATGGGTTGGTGTCTGACGAAATCTCAGCACGGATTCGAAAAGCTCGTTTGGCTTTTGCCAACTTACGTCACCTTTGGCGGAGGCGAGATATCCGTCTATCAATAAAAGGACGAGTATACTGCGCGGCAGTCCGTTCTGTCTTACTTTACGGCAGCGAAACATGGCCTTTAAGAGTAGAAGACACCCGTAAGCTACAAGTATTTGACCACAGATGCCTTAGAAATATTGCTGGCATCTGCTGGGATCACCGGGTAAGTAATAGTGAGGTTAGACGCAGGGTATTAGGGAATGATGGTAAATCAGTTGATGAGGTTGTGAATCTTCATCGACTGAGATGGTTGGGCCACGTATTACGTATGCCTGAACACCGATTACCACGACGTGCAATGCTAACCGGTGTAGGGGTTGGTTGGAAGAAAGTTAGGGGCGGCCAAACCAAAACGTGGCATCAGTGCTTGAAGTCACTAACTTCTAGTCTGAGCCATGTTGGTAGATGCAGACTACTTGGTTGGGGTCCGCGTGACTATCGTAACCAATGGTTGGAGACTCTTGGTGACATGGCTCAGAATCGATCACAATGGCGTCGGTGTATACACTCCCTGTCTTCCCTTAAACTAAGAGATTAAAATCACTTCATATCTTTCTTTCTACGAACTAATTCTTCCTTCCTATACTATATCCTTATTGCAACCTTTGACCTAACCACTCCTATGAATCCGGTGTTCATCTTGTTGTGCTAATGAGGTATGGCAACCTGGACCGATGCACATATGTGCCTGGTCCTACGTTGTAGCTGACTGACTGACTGACTGATAAACATCTTCATCTTCCTCCCTATGTTAGTAGTACTGCTTAAATTTGAGTAAATAAGTATTATCACTAGCCTTTGCACTAAATGTGTAACTTAAAACCGTATACGCTAACTTGTATTTAGCAAAGGAGTTGTGTTAATCCATTCAACTAAGTATCTGTTCCTAAATTGTTTTACTCTACGATCGCTACTAACTCGGCTCCATTAAGTATAATGCCCAATACACCGTCCACTACAGTCTCCAAGAGATCAATACGCTAGACAGGGGTGTATTAGGTTGTCTTCAGATTTCCGTGTAGACAAGCGGACATTGTAATGGCTTCCAACTACTTATTTCTTATCAACAGTTTCAAACTTACTGAATGACCACCTAACCCCGTTAACGTTAACATCAACATAAAAATGGACGCACAAATCATCATACTAATTACTGTTAGGTGAGATCTTTAGGTCAGTCAGTCAGTCAGCTACAACGTAGGACCAGGCACATATGTGCATCGGTCCAGGTTGCCATACCTCATTAGCACAACAAGATGAACACCGGATTCATAGGAGTGGTTAGGTCAAAGGTTGCAATAAGGATATAGTATAGGAAGGAAGAATTAGTTCGTAGAAAGAAAGATATGAAGTGATTTTAATCTCTTAGTTTAAGGGAAGACAGGGAGTGTATACACCGACGCCATTGTGATCGATTCTGAGCCATGTCACCAAGAGTCTCCAACCATTGGTTACGAAAGTCACGCGGCCCCCAACCAAGTAGTCTGCATCTACCAACATAGCTAAGACTAGAAGTTAGTGACTTCAAGCACTGATGCCACGTTTTGGTTTGGCCGCCCCTAACTTTTTTTCAACCATCCCCTACGCCGGTTAGCATTGCACGTCGTGGTAATCGGTGTTCAGGCATACGTAATACGTGGCCCAACCATCTCAGTCGATGAAGATTCATAACCTCATCAACTGATTTACCATCATTCCCTAATACCCTGCGTCTAACCTCACTATTACTTACCCGGTGATCCCAGCAGATGCCAGCAATATTTCTAAGGCATCTGTGGTCAAATACTTGTAGCTTACGGGTGTCTTCTACTCTTAAAGGCCATGTTTCGCTGCCGTAACGTAAGACAGAACGGACTGCCGCGCAGTATACTCGTCCTTTTATTGATAGACGGATATCTCGCCTCCGCCAAAGGTGACGTAAGTTGGCAAAAGCCAAACGAGCTTTTCGAATCCGTGCTGAGATTTCGTCAGACACCAACCCATTAGGGCTGATCAGACTTCCAAGATAAGTGAAGTTGTCAACGCGTTCGACTACTTCACTCCCTATCCTTAGTTCAGGTGTTGATGCAGACCAGTCCTGAAGCAACAACTTGCATTTAGAGGGAGAGAAGCGCATTCCAAACATTCTGGCATTGTTGCTTAGTGCTACCAAAAGACTCTGCATTTTGTCAGCGTCTTCACCAAACAGGACTATGTCATCTGCGTATGCTAAGTCGATAAGTGGACCTCCTGGAAGGAGATCAATACCCGAGAATTCAGTCGACGAGAGTGTTATTTCCATCAATAGGTCTATGATGAAGTTAAACAAAAATGGAGAAAGTGGACAGCCTTGACGGACACCACTTGAAGTTGCAAAAGTAGATGACAGTTCGCCATAAGCTCTGACTCGACTAGTAGTGTTCGAGTAAAGAGCCTTCACAAGGTTTATGTACTTCTGAGGTACGCCTTTCAATGACAGACACTGCCACAGAGTCTCGCGGTCTACAGAGTCAAACGCTGCTTTCAAGTCAAGAAAGACCACCATCGTCGGACGCCGATAGGTATGCCTGTGTTCTAGAACCTGACGAATGGTGAATATGTGGTCGATGCAGCCACGACCAGGTCTAAAGCCAGCTTGGTTCTCTCGAGTTTGTAGTTCACGAGTCTTAGTTAGGCGTCTGATAATTATCGAGGCCAGTATTTTAGATACTATGTTTGTTAGACTAATCCCTCTGTGGTTGTCACAGGATGATTTTGACCCTTTCTTATATATTGGGACGATGAGTGATTGCGACCAGTCAGATGGGATAAAGTCTAATTCCCAGATCTTAGCTAAAATATTAGTCAACCTAATCGCTAAAATTGGACCACCATCCTTAAAGACCTCTGGAGCCAATCCATCTGGACCAGCTGCCCTTCCTCGTTTCAGATTAACTATAGCTTTTTGAACTTCAGCAAGAGTTGGGGGACCTACTTCAATGTTCCATTCACATTGTCTGGGAATGGAGGGTAGTTGCAGAGTAGCTGAAGGCCAGCTGAACTGTTCTCTAAAATGTTCCGCCCATCGTTCTAAACGTCTGGACTGGGAGCAGATGAGAGTATTATCTTTTTCCGAAATAATCTCACTTACACTTGACTTATTAGTTCCAGTTTCTTTTATTAGTCTGTAAAGCTGTCTTGTGTTCCCTATAGTCGCCGCCTTTTCCATCTCTTTTGCTTTCGTTACCCACCACTGCTCACGGTCGTTCCTTAGACTTTTTCTTAACCTAGATCTGATTTGTTTTCGCTCTTCATCATGTTCAGAACCTGATGGGACGAGTTTGCGAGAATCCATCAGTGTGACAGACCTTGAAGAAATCCACTGGTTCCTTGCAACTCTGTGGTTTAAGTCACTAATAGATGTCACTGCTGTTTCCACAGCTGATTGTATGCCCTTCCAAGCAACATCTGGGTCAGCCTCGTCTTCACAACTACCTAAGTGTGATCTCAGTTGTTCCTGGAACCTACTTTTGGTTTTCTCGTTACTCAACTCAGTTCTAACGGGTCTTTTTAATGTGGCTTTTTTGCGTCCAGTGAGGCGCAAGCAGATGCGTGCCCGTATTAGGGCATGGTCGGAGTCCAAGCAGGTACTCCAGAATGAGCGACAATCTTCTACCGACCCTCTCCAACGATGACTGATGGGAATATGGTCTATTTGAGTCCATCGTTGGTTTGGTGTAGGGGGTCGCCATGTTAGACGATGTCTCTCCTTATGCTTAAAATTTGTGTTTGCTAAAAATAAACGATTGTCTGAGCATAGCTGCAGCAGACGATCACCATTATCTGTTCGCTGTGTCGGAATACTAAAATATCCACCTAAATGCCTTTCTGTTTGGTTTAAGCTACCTATCTGAGCATTAAAATCACCTGCTACGAGTACTATGTCTGAGCGTTTAGCTTTCTGAAGAGATCTTTAGGAGGTTCTCACTAATCACAGATTACCTCTTCACGTTTTGATAATGATCATCATATGTCTGTGAAGAAAGCCAACTGCAGGAAAGTCTATTAACCTTCGGCTCGACGATAAAGTCAACAAGAAATAAGCTAAACATTAAACTAGAGATGACTCAACTGCTGTGAGGAACAACTAAAATAGCCAAATTTAGTTGGTATTCAAAAATCGATATGTCCCCCCAATGCCATATGAAATGACTAGAACACAAATATTTATCCTGGTTGATTACGAGCATAATGAAGAGTAGAAACAGCCTCTACAGATAAGCAAATGGTAGTAAGTAAGAAAAGCGAAAGTAGTACAGCATGTTCGAGGTTATTCGACCGGATGAAATACGAATGTATTCAATCTTCGTATATTTTATATTATACGTTTCACTACTGGTCAAAATTTTATATGGATATCTCATTTTTGTTTATTTATGTGAATCATATCATGAATTATGACAACTTGGGTTAATGAGTCTTCATCCAACATAAGATGTTGATGTTTCTTAGTGTTAATCACAAAACCTAAAATCGAAGAATTAATCGGTATACTCTACCTTCAAACGCAAGCCAAAATACTATTGAACTTAGTCACCTGTCGCTGATCTTAGCTGTTATCGGCTTCGTCTAAAGGAATTTGAAAGAGCTACAGTTATAGTATCTTCCTAAATACAGTTTGGATGTCTAAGGTTATTGCAGAAATCTAGCCACAGTGTTAGTACAAACATGTTAACGCCTACATTGTTTGTGTAAAAACAACAAGTATGAAGTAAAAGAAATTTTCACTGCTTACATTTCAATTGTCCTTAAACAGATTTCGCTACTAATATCATTTTCTGTTTCCTCAAGCTATTTAACATGCCGACTCTAGTATACTGTCTCATTCTTTTGTGAACCACATTTTAATTTGTTAACTATCAGACACTACTAATTTACAAGTTCTACATGCGAATATTTTGGAAGCAATAATTCTTAATTCACATTCAAACTATAATTTCCTACTAAAGCAGATAGTTCTATGTAAATAGAACGGTTTATGTTGTTACTTATCGCAGACTAGTCGCTGACTAAATTAGAAACTGAAAGTTTGCTACTAGTGATTATTGTAAAGTCTATTTCAATTTTAAAGTAACGAAAATTTTTGCATTACTCAGGCAATATACCTCATTCAAACAATGGGAAAACCTAGACCAAAAACCAAGAACTTGCACCCGATGCTTCAAGATTTTCTGGACAGATGTCTAGTCGTAGATCCTGTAAGACGAGCTTCTGCAAAGGAACTGCTTAACCACGATTTTTTTAAGCATGCAGGGAGCTTGTCTTCGCTTGGACCGCTTATTCGTGCAGCACGAGAGAGTCTTGGAAAAAAGGAATAAGAACGGAAAAACTTAACATCTAGCATCAATCATGACGGAGCTAAAAACCATCGAGTAAGCCGGACAATTATTATCATAAATATTTCTGTCCGCCTGTTCAGTTTCACAAAAATTTCTAACAGGAATATCATTTTTATTATTACTCAATTTTTGCAAGCTCGAATCCATCACACATCTATATTTTGTATGCTTTGACTCACACTTTACCTACAAGCCTAATCCAGTTTTTAACCTAGATTAACCTGTAATTGCTAAATCCTGGCTGCTGTCTTTTTTATTATTTCAATCAAGTCTTTCTGCTGCTTTGCGAATGCATCGTGAAGCAGTTCACCCCGATTTTTTGAATGATCATTAATATGTAATCTTGATTTTTTTCTGTAATAGTCTACTACGCTTAGAAAAATAAACGTATTAACAACTTTTTTACAAAAGCAATAAACCATTTTTGACAATTTTTATATGAGGTTCGCACATCAGTTATTAATTATGTATACCGACTAGCGTGGGCTAAGTTAAATACATTTACTACGTCTGAAGAATAAAGAGAATCATTTTGGTAACGAAAATAAATATTGGCACGAATACCTGGAGATTAGAGTCAAGAAAATAAGTATTATGGACAAGTTTGCAGGTTAAACACGGAGATACTATCACAGTTGGATCCCGCAGATATTTCGTCTTTAAACGTCTTCCAAAACCATAGGCTGGAAAGTAAAATATACGACTGTAAATATAACGGAATTGGTAATTAAAAAGCAAAAGGTTTATTTAGGTATCAGCTAGTGCTGATCAATTATTGTTTCTAAAACACCATTATACTTACGCTACTCCGTCCAGCGCTCATGGTGCTTGCTAATATGCCTCTTTGATACCTCCAAGTCATGTGTTCCAAATCAGGCACGGCAGTGCAGTAAACAATTTCTACAAGAAAATTAAAACCGTGAGCAGCTTAGTTACTGTGTAATTAAATAGCTCGGAACATTTCCCAAAGTATGAATAGACGTGTTAAACGTTTTTGAGAGCGCCTCTTATATTGTATCATTTAACAGGTTGTGTGGACTGTGTTAGACGAATGAATTACTGAACTACGGTCTTGACCGTGTGTACATCAGGCACATATATTACGTTCTTAAATAAAACAAATAGAACTAACACAAGACCTCTTAAAAAACATCCACATAAATCGATGTTTCAAGACAGTAAATAGTGAAAAAATCAACAGGAGTGAGACGATCAAAACAAGTCTTAATATATGTGGAGTAAAATAAGTAGCATAATTACAATCTGGAGTCAAATAAACCTATTTCAATTTGTGTCATTCTAAAACCTTAGCTTTCATTTTAGAGCCGAAGATAAATTTGTCATGGGTTCTTTTAGAACTAAAACGACGGAAACTTGGTCACTCATGTCTAGCTTCAAACCTACATGTTAACTCAAGTTCTCATAGCATTTCAATACAAAAAAATGAGGATGACCATGGTCATCATAATACTAGTATCAGTAACAGTGGGGAACACTAGATTGGACACTGCTTGAGAAAAGGATGAACTCGAAGAACACCAGACACTATGTAAAACTGAAGCTTAGGGCTTAAGAGGATAGCTTAGGAAATAAATTACTTGACTTCAAACAGTCCGATTCCAGATCTGACCCATTTAGATCTTAAGATCCTGGCAGTATCACCGGGTCTCAGAGTATACGTCAAAAGCGAGTGTACAAATCTCTACTGAGTTTATCACTGTGTACAGAATGATAGACGGCTATGCAAACGGTAAGTGTAAATCTTCACGTGACAAGTTACGCAATGACTAAAATTTGAGTGAGTTTCCCCCCGTTTCAAATATCAGTTGAAAGGGACAATTTCCTACTGCATAATATTTCACATTTTAGAATATATGATAAAGATTTGCAGCTCAGGTGAATGCTTTCGACATCTGCAACACTAGTAATTAGCAGCATTTTGTACATAAATACTAACTCTCCCCTACCACATATCTGTTGTGTGCCATATAATTTAATGTAACAAGTAACTTTAGCCAGTCACGTTCATACCCTCAATAGCCAAAGTGCACTATGACCGCTGAGGCTACAAATTTACAAATGGTACTGAGCTTAATAAATCTCACAAAAGAACCCTCTGGTTCCTCATACTTGATATGCCAAAAACTGTACATATTACTCATTAATTGACACTATGAATGTTACTGCATGACTCCTTAAAATAAACATGAGAATTTATTAAGGGTAAAATAGCAGATGAACCTGCACAAAGTATTTACGAAACGAACTATTATTTAGGCGACAAAACTTTCATGTAAAATAACTAACCCCCAAACCTATCGCCATTGGGTAGACAGAAGGACAGCGCCCCGACGACAGGACATTGGTAAGTTAGCTGGAGGTTTGGAGGAGTGATATTTAATGTTAGGTCTATAATTTGACGCGGAGGAATTGGAAGAATAGGGATTCTGCCATCTACACCGATTGGAAGCCATAGAACTTCACTGTTATCTGCAGATAAGCTGTTTAGTCGAGCAACAGCATGGTCTATCTGCTTACAAATGTGGTTAAAATAATTATGAACGGGCACTAACTTCAGACCGTAGGAACGTTCCTTCAGGCCAGGAACAAGAACCGCAGTTCTCGACAGTTACTTTGATAAACCCACCAAGTTCCGGAACATCATAAGGTGATGGCCATACCCGTGCATCGAATTGTCTTAGGTTTACCACAACTTCAGAATCTATACGCATGTAGTCCACATTCGTAGATGATTCGCAAACACTCACGGAAGTGAGTGGGTAATTCGATGCACAACTAACTGGTGCGGAACCCTCAAAACTGAAATCAAAGTAAGCACCGATTGCACGTTGTAGGTTCCTTAAGCACTAGTATTATCAGATTTTTTACTTTACCAGTCGGCCAATTCTAAGAAAAACCGACACGACTCGTTAGATAGCTCATTCCCAACAACTGCTTTTAGTTGATTTATTAACTCATCCTTGTCTGTTGTACCAAGTGCACTAAACTGTTCTAGTAGTTTGGCATCTATGTCAAACATCCTGATTCTTATCGCCAGACACTGCTTTCCATTTTGCCGGCAAAATTCGAACGTAGCGCACTCTCAAGGACACAAATCATCCAAACCAACATCTATGTGACTAGCAGGATGGCGGGAATAAATGTCAGTATTATTGACAGAAATTAGTTCCAAGACGCATACTTAATTAAGTGTGCAAGGTGAGGAGATAAGAAAGATTTTTGGCATCATTAGTGTTGATGAAACAGGCACCATTCTCACTGAGGATATATTTCAAATCATTTCTTACATAACATTGACGGCATTAGATTCTCTCAGTAAACTAGTGTGGTGTTTGTACTAAATGGTAATTCTTTTACACTTGATCGTACGCTTATTACGAATTACAAATATAATACTTTGGCTAGTTTCACCTGAAAATCTTAAAAACCGATCCCGGTTCGTGATGATTCTTTGATTATCATGTATCAGACTGCAGAACAAAAAATTTTAGTGGTGTCCTCAAATGTTTCAAAGTTAAACTACTATCAGTCATGTGACTTGCTCAATGGGATGATAATAGATACCCAAACTTTGCAAAACTGCTTGTCATTCTTGATAATACTGTGGATGTGGGCGGTGTTGTTCTGACTAATTACTTGTTAGAGTCAGATAGAAATACGTAAACACCGTCGGATAGACCATATTTGGAACACGATCTTAGCAAAACTATCCCAAAGGCAACTGATAAGGCGTTCTTTCGATGAATAAAGATTATTGCTCCAAGTGTCTCGAAAAGGCGGACACTGATAACTCAATCTATAAAACTCAAAAGAAGAAATTTATGGAGTAGTTCGTGGAGTGTCAGAACAACTCCAGCCCAAAACTGGTACGATTGTTAAAAATTGACGGAAAAGTGAAAGAATCTGGCAAAAAATAAAATCCGCTTTGGAGTAAATGCCAGTGAAAAACCACGGAAAAGTCTCGTAGATGCGTTCGAAAGCGTAGTATGATTGATTGACTAGCGTATGATGGTTTTGAACAGGTAGTGGGAGGAAGGCATGATGACCAACAAGGTGGAGTCGATTACCATGGTGTTCGCATGATATAATTGCGGTTGGTAAAGGATTATATTTGTTAGAAGTCAATCTTGCCATCTGTCGCCACATGCTTGAAGGTCTCCAAAGAAATATATATCTGAACAACGTTTATAGTTTTTTTCAATTGCTTGGTGGTACGCTGATTATTCTGATGGCACTATCGCTAAGAAAAACGAGCGTTTATTATATTATTGACTGCGATGAATTGCAGTATTTCAAAAAGAACTTGTGGTGGAGTAAGTTGACATCACCTTGAAATTCAAGCACTCCATCTGAAGATGTGGTTCGAAAAGTTTCCTAATTATTAACCTTTACGTGAGAAAAGATTTCACTGCAACTGATGGTATGCTAGACTTTTCATGGGGGGAGTTCAACAATTCTAGCTGGTTCTATCCTTATCCAGAAACAGTGGTTTTACCTCAAGTTATTCATATGAAAATAAAATTTTACTTAATATCAGACAACTAAATGCCAGGTCTTTGAATTCTTTGAAGGATCTCAATTGATCACATGCTATAAGTGATGTACGATTAAAGGTAAACTAGGTTAATCAACCTCTGATATTCACCTGTAGTTGAATTAAATGATGAATAATACATAACACTTTCACCAGTGCCCCTTGGAATCTTTTGTTTTACGTGACAGGAAGTAAATATCCTGATACCTCCTTGCAGAGCAACAGAAGATTACGTAGGGGACCTTGAATAAAATTCACAACGATATAGTCTATTCAGATAATTACATAGCGCTCGATTCGCCTTCATCTTCCAAACACTTGGTTACTTTAATACTTGAGGTCTCATTCTGATTTCCTGCTCAAAAGTATTTAGTACAACTGCTTGCTGTAAGTTTCACTTTAGCTGAATGAATCGTTTAGTACATGAGATGCAAACATGGGCACATGTAGTTGATAACTAAGCCATGGACGTTTGAAATGTGGACACGCCGATTCGGCAGTAATAGTACTTGTAAGATTACATATTTGTCTAACTTTCCTGTTAACTAAGTACACTAATTAAGGTTTGTTGTTCGACAGTAGTTGACCATAGATAAACGACTATTATCTATAGTAAATGTAAACGCGGGTAACCTGTCAACCGACAGGTTGACCAAAGCATGCGTAAATGTGGGTAGCAATCACCGAGAGGAGCATACAGTTTGCGGCACCGTAGTGTAAGACCAGTGTATGGGCTTATTACTGTAGGCCTTAAATACTTCTTTGACTAATGATGTATGGAGAGATACTGATCTGGTTGGTATTTGATCTTGTATGCATCTGTGTGTACCTACGTGTGCGTGAAAATCTCTTCATTCATACATCTGTGGGTGTGTTTTTTGTGTTCTTCTAAATGTAACACATCTATTGCACTATGTATTTACGTATACTGTAATTATCTTTTTGATCGTTCGCAATCATAATTATGCTGCCTTCAGGTTCAGGTTTGTGACCGATTGTTTAATGTCGCTAAGGGTTTTGATAACCATTTACCTTTGTCGTAATTCACACTGTATTTTGGCAGCTGCTCTACTGGATGACACCATTATTTGTTCCTCTTACAAACCTGACCCACCAAATCTGTCCCAAAAGAATAGATTATGTTTGTTAGGAATGTTTATCATCCTGGTCAAGTAGTATTTCAGAATCAGAGGCAAACGGGAAACGTTTGCAGTCGGAAAATGTTTCGGAATTCATGGTTATCCACACAATGAAAAGTATACGACAACGATTCATGGTTAGGATGTCTTAGCCAGGGAGAATTGTAAGTTTTCAAACTAGTGACTATAAGTTGATTTCAAACGGACAAGTCAATGAAGTTAGTTGGTGTAAGTTAAAACGTGTTAGACGATAGCTATTTGCAATAATCCACAACAATAATGGTCAGAGATAATCCTCATCTTGTCGCGATATATATCAATTTTACAATTTAAAAAAGTCACGTTCCGAAAATAAAATTCTTTTACTAACCCGAATGACTTAGTATTATGAAATGACAAGCCCAAAGTTACTGAAGAAATTAGAGAGGGGAATAACCTGTAAATATATCTCACAGTAGCTACTCTAGCCAGTTTACCGAACCCTTCGTTTCTATTTGCACAAAATATTTCTTGTTATCAACGCAATGACAAAGAAGAAAGTTTATGTCGTACCCGGCAATCGGCTGATGTATGAGCAGTTATGCACGTAAAAAGCGGATTTGTAAAAATTAATTTGGATGACTAAGAGTTGTTCAAAAACATCTTGATAATGTCAAAACATTATGGCCCAAGTAAATATTTACTTGTGTAGGGACTGCATTCGCCATTATCGTATACTGAACATTGCAAATTCTGTGCCTTCGGAATGATAACTTTGCGCTCCAACTGTTCTGCTTTGAGATTCGGATAAACGCCTACCGAAACCACCGGTTTGGCTTCTTCTATAGATAACATGAGGGATAACCAATAACACTGAAGTTGCAACAGAAAACTGACTGTTGAGTCGTACTGATGCAGCAGCAGATTGGACATTTTTGTGACTAAGGATAACATGGAACATTACACGTACAGACGACTCCCTATGATTTGAGGTAAGTCGGAATTATAGCAGATATCATTGATCACACGTTTTGCACTTGCAATTTAAGGGTAATTTGATATGAGATTGGTGTAAGGAAGAAACCCCACTCCGCGTACTGGGCCTTATGGTATGATATAAAATACAGAGTAGGTAAAATGAAAACAAACGAAAATGTATAAGCTAATTAAATGTGTTTAATTTACATGAATCTACAGTTGCCAACTCACAGGTTATTAAGAAAAGTATAAGTAGGTGTTTATGATCGTAGATGATAATGAAAATTAACGCCCAGTCAGGGAAACAGATTTGACATAAATACTAGATAAATCCAAGTGGTAGTGCCGAACACAATTAAAGTGGAGCATTTGTCATTTATTGTAGGGTGTGATATTTATCTAAAAAAGGCAAAATGTCAAAATACGGATTTTATTGAGCAATATGCCTGTTGCTACTTTGAACACTTAGTAGTATTCTTATTGTAGAGTTCTATTCAGGGAATGCAATAAATGCCGAAATCATATGATAGGTTACTCTACCTTTCACAGAAAGTCCTATCAATGCAAAAGATTTCCATATGACCCTAAGAGGACGGTTCATTGTAAATCCCTAGATCAAATTTACCATTTCAGGTGCTTCATTCTCTGCAAACATCAACTGTCAGAATGGATACCCACATGTATCGACTGTCGCTAGTTGACTATCTACTCTCAACATACCTCAATCCTAAACAAGTGTAAATTTTGGGAATTAAATATATACCAAAATTCTTAATTTGATTTATCATTCCAAACGTTCATTAAAACTAACTCTAGTATTATTTTTTGAGTATGTAGAAACTACCTCTGTAAATCTTTTGCACATTTTGATTTGCTCGATAGATTTTATTAGCCTCGTCGACGTAACGTAAAATTGAGTAAAGTGTACTTCGACTTCTTTCTCCATCATTTAGCATGAAAAAATCTAGCAAATCTTTCATATATTCTTTTTGGAGTTTATCGTAATCGTGTTTAAGGTATAAGATGCAATAATGTTTGTTTGAAACATTTTGACGTTCGAATTTAACTGCTGATTTGATAGCTACAAATTTACTTAACTGGTGATTTGGGGCTTCAAGTTATCTTACTATCCTTGTTTGTAGGTCGTATTTGAAAGAGCATGACTGAAATCCAAAGGCTAACTTGGACATCCATAAACATCGATCACAAATATCTCACTAATCCTAAAAGGAACAAAGTCTTAATAAATACCACAATTATTCATTTGAACTTCCAGATATAGACAAAATGTCTATACTTACCTGTAAAATGAGTTAATTTATTTCGAAAGTGGGCAACTTACCATAGCAGAGCACTTTCCGATTCCAAGTATCATTAAACTCCACTGCAATTGAAAGTCGGTCCCACTTTATCCTAGGTTAATAGGATGAAACTTTGATCGTCGTTATTAAGATAATTGAGGCAGGACAT